ATGTACAATATTGACCTAATAAGCCTCTTGACAATATTGTGGTGCATCGCCGGTGCCGAGCATCAGATTATGTAGTTTATATTGTCCAATCGTCTGTGCTTATCTTACTAATGGCTCATCATTAAAGTTTATGTTTATTTTACTCTGCGTCTCTATCCGCTCGTACGCTGCTCCAACCCGCCCCAAATCATAATTTAACAGTGGTTATCTGTTGTTGAATAACACTATCATCAATGTTCTGTATTTATTGTTGAATATAGGTTTTAATTTCACTATCATCTATGTTTTGTATTTGTTGTTGAATATAGGTTTTGATTTCGCTATCATCTATGTTTTGTATTTGTTGTTTAATATTTCTTTTTGTAATTCACTGTTAAGTTTAGTTTCCAGAGCATTTAATTCCTGTTGAAACGTATCTTCATTTTCCCCTGGAATGTTATCTATTAATTGTTGAATGTCTAATTTTTTGTTTTGCAATCTTATCATCTAATTTAGATATTAATGAAATTAAATTTTGTAACTCAGTTTTGTTCACTACGTTGACCAATTCCTTTTGAATAAAGCTTATTAAACCTTCTACCTCTTGTTGTTTAGTATCATTAACAAAATTTTTATTATTTAGTTGAAGTTTGAAGAATCTTTTCACATTACTTATTTTATCTTCTAAATGTTTTTTTTTTTTACTTCAATTGAATTTATTTGGTCCCATAAATATTTCTTGTGAACAGCGTCATTATCATTTTCTGAAGATTTTAAATTAGTTACTTTGAAATTGTTCATATCTAAATCACCTTGAAAAGTATCCCCTATTTGATCCACAAAGTAAGGTTTCGTTTTATTTATCCACGCTGTTGTGTTAGGTTTTTTAGTTTCTAAAGATAAAGAACCTAATCCAAACTTTTTCGCCATTTTTATTGAGTTAAATTTATTACAATTTCTTCAAACTGTTTTCCTAAACTCAACTGATATAAAACCCAAAGTGAAAGCTGTCCACAAAACTTTTGTCCCGGTAATTGAATTTGAAATGTAGAACATTTGATTTATTAGTCAATTGCACTATCTCTTCAGTTGGTTCTAATCCATAAGAATCGAAAAAATATAAGTTATTTGAAGAGTCTTTGTACAAAGCAGAATGATGAACTCCTTTTTGATCGGAAGTATGTATATTTGTTATAGCGTAAAATTTACCTTTCTTATATTTCAGATCATTTATTTCATCTCTCATGCAACAATAAAACGGTGATATATTTAACTCATTCGCCCATCTCATAAGTTGAAAGTTTGTGGTTGTATCAGTTCCATATTTATGGAGAAAGATACCCATTTTTAAAAGTCGGTTTTTTGAAGTTCGTTTTGATAAAACCTACCTATGATTTGTTCTTTGTCTTGATCGATTAATTCATATGTCGGAGGTGATGTGGTGTTTACTTTATCTACGAACTCGATCTCCAACTTTAAATTTTGGTTTGATATTTAAATTCTTTATTTCATTTCCGTAGTTATGTTGTTCGTTAATTGACTTTATAATATTTGGATTATTTGAGGCTTGTGTTGGTGTGACACCTTTAGATGAATGAATTTTGTTATTGTATTCATCTACAACCTCTGGTAATATTTTAAGCCATTTTTGAGATTTCAATTCCGTGAACTTTTTGAATAATTTATTTTTTAGAGTTCTATTATATCTCCCAAAAACTACAGCTTTTCCTTCATTATGCGTGCTGTAAATTTCAAATCCCAGAGATTTCATATTTTTGTTATAAAATCCACTTCCTTTATCTACCCTACATCCTTTTCTGGATGTCGGTTAGATTGTTTCATAATCGTTTCAAATGCTTGTTTGACTGATAATCCTGTTTTGTTTTTCAAAGGAATAACCCAAGCATATCTCATATACAAATCTATAACTGTTAAGCAATATTTTTATCCTCTTTTGACTGGCATATTAATTAAATCGGCTGACCATATTCCATCTTTGTCAAATACTTTAACTTTTAAAAAGTTTTTAGTTTTCTAAATTCTTTATGAATTTCATCCGCTAATCCCATGCCCAATTTCATCTTTGCTTTGAACAGTTTAATGACCAGAGCCCTTTGCATTCTCTCTTTGAAAGTTGGAATATTTTCAAGTTTGATTATCATTTGTCTGTCTGCTTCGTGTCTGAAGTTTATGTCTTTGTTTCTGTATAGTATGTCGTGTTTAAGCGCAGCGGCATTAACTCTATTGACTGGTTCTTCGCCCGGTTTGGGTTTAACGTTTTCGTCTAAGCGTAGATCTAACCTGGTACCTGGAGCAGTGTAATTCTGACCGGGAAGATGTTTTTCTCCGGGATATTTCACCCATGGGAATCCAGGAAGAGAACCCAATGATTTTTGTATATCTGACCGGAATATGTGTTTGGAGGGTGAGCGACTATCATTTTTATCCGATAACTTTAAAACCTTTCCCTTTCCTTTCTTCTAATCTCCTGTTATGCAGTTAGATTGTTTCACTGTGTCACTTATAATCTTTCTCGCTTCCGCGATTTAGCGGACGGCTTTCGCTCCGGATGAAATAAGTGATTTGTTGTTTGAAACAAACCTAGCTACTTTTGGAATTATTTTTGAACCTAGAGAAAATATTGATGAAAAGATACCGTCGCCCGAATAATCTTCGAATTTGTGTTGTTCGTGTTTTAGAATTAAACTCATCCTATTTTTAAATGAATTAATTTAACGAAGAAATTGTGGTCTGTTTTTTTTTTCCAAAAAAAAGAGTTATCTTCCTTCTAGAAGTTTCTAGACTAAAAATAACATTATTTAAAACGAGGCTATTAAAAAACCGGATGTTAAGCGAAACAAGGAAGTTATTTTATATAAAGGTATTTTTAATATGCTTTTTTCGTTTAATTTAGGGTAAATAGGTTTTTTGGGGTGGGGGTTGATGGCATGTAAGAATTTATGAAATGTAGGGTGTATAGGTCTTTTTGGTATAAGAATTTATGAAATGTAGGGTGTTTAGGGGCTTTTCAATATGTTTGCACTTTTTTCCCATGGAATGAAATGGAATTGGAGTTGGATTTCTAATAATGTGCATCGATGGTGAGCTTTCCGTCTCAAATATCATATCAAAATCATTATTGAAAGAATATTTTTTGGTATTATTGACATTCTAAAGGTGTTTATATATTTTCTATTTGTTTTAATTTCATACATGTGATTAGGCTTATTGTTTTCATCGTTAACTTCCAAATCTTTATTTTCAACATATTCACCATCTTTGATAAATTCGAAAATCTTACAAGCGTTAAAATAGTGAGATGGCTGAGAGAGGAAGATTGAATCGATTTTAACAGGAAAAAGAGTTTCAATTAGAGATTTACCTCGGAAATTAAAGTTTCCTGAATCATCAAATATGTTTTTAACGTTTCCACTTATATATGAAAATACTTTTATTTTTCATATAAATTCATATCCTTCCAACTGATATGTTGTTTCCCCTGTAGGAATACGCTCAGTATTTCTCACACGGAAAACAGGAATATTGAAATAATATGATTTTTTATTTTCCTTGAGATGCTTTTCTAATGCGGCTATATTTTTTTCCTGTTTTAAAACTTCGTTATTAATAGCAGTTATCTGTTGTTGAATCTCACTCTCATAAATATTTTGTATCAGTTGATTAATATTTGTTAGTTCTTTTTTTAATTCAGTTTTAAATTTAGTTTCTAGAGTAGTTGTTTCCTGTTGCCATTTGTCTTCACTTATACCTGGATTAATATTATCTATTATTTGTTTAAGATCTATTTTTTGTTTTGCTACCTTATCATCTAATTTGGGTATTAATGATTTTAAGTTGTTTAATAGCATCTATTTCACTATTATCATTTTAATATTTTAGTTATAGAATGACTAATTAACAGGACAAGAGTAAACCTTTGGTTTCTGTTTTATTCAGTACGTGATAGCTTTAAGAAATGTCTTGTTAATCAATCAGTGTTAGGTAGTGAATTATTTTTCTACAATGAGTTTTCTACTGACTCAAAAGTCAGTTAAATATTGATTTTCAACCAAGAAGCAGTAATGTTTTTCTTCTGGTTAATGTTGGTGATATTGGATTTTTGATTATTTTGATAAATTTGAACTAATTTGAAATTGGATAAGTAACTACAACATGTCGGAACGTGGTGGTCTAAGAAGTAGTAGCCAAAAGAATTGCAAATCAAACGAAGTGGTGAATTTGACATCAATAAGGAGCTTACGCCCATTAAAAGTAGACCTCTCGACAGAAGTCAAGATGGTGCTAAGACTGCTGATAGTGTCAAGAATATATCAGATGATTCGGACGACGATTCGGAAGACGATGAAACGGTAAAATTGAGAGTTACCATTCGACAACTGCAAGCAGAGAAGAAGCAGAGACCATTGACAAGTAAAAAAGATATGTTGAAGAAACAGATAGAACGTGAACAGAGAGAGTTATCAGCATTGACAGACAGAGAAAAAGGTTTTTACCATTCAAATCATTAGATTTAGGCCCATCGGCTCCCGAGCCTACATTAACCCTTGTGCTAGCACGTCGTTTGAATAACATTGGATAGAACCTGGGGTATTTGGGAACCCCTATTATATAATGGAAATTTTGAACAAAAGAACATGAAATATATTCCCAGGTGTGGCAAATAATACTTTATAAAGACTCCTTGTTGACCAAATCAATTATTCAAGATGATAGTTATATCGATATGCGAAAGTCATCCTGTCTTCAAGCCAAACCTATAATCTAGAATATTACATAAGGGTAGGGTTGTGATCTAGGGATGAGCAGAGTGCATCTGTTTTGATTCAATTATTGACCAATTGGTCAAGATTTCAAAAGTAGTTAGCTTAACTTGATATGGTTATAACATTTATTAATAATTTGAAAATTATGTATAAAAAAACTCAAATTTGACCTACTGGGATACTTCAGGACCCCCGAGATTCAATAGGTGTTATAGTCAATTATTAACCAAAATGGCCCCAAAATTAGTTGAAATATCCCTTACAAAGTGGTCAAAATGGTACCAAATAACTTTTTATTTCATTGAACAACTTTAACAATAAATAATATATGAATGTTTTGACAGTATGTTGTTTGTATTTCGGTGCCGAAATAGGTGTAGAGGGATTGGATCAGGGACCAATAAGATAGAGGTGTTTTGGTCGTATCACGGCATACCCTACTGGGGTACTTCAGGACCCCCGAGATTCAATAGGTGTTATAGTCAATTTTTAACCAAAATGGCCCAAAAATTAGTTGAAATATCCCTTACAAAGTGGTCAAAATGGTACCAAATAACTTTTTATTTCATTGAACAACTTTAACAATAAATAATATATGAATGTTTTGACAGTATGTTGTTTGTATTTCGGTGCCGAAATAGGTGTAGAGGGATTGGATCAGGGACCAATAAGATAGAGGTGTTTTGGTCGTATCACGGCATATCCTGTCGGGAAAAAATATCAAGAGTTGTTGGCATATTATTAGTGCAGCAAGGTAATTTCACCAGTCTCATCTTGGTAAAATATTATGTACTCTTCATATTGAATATATCCATAAATTTATTTAATAATTTGAATTAATTTGTGTGTATAACAGATTAACCTTAATCTTTGAAATGATGTACTGTGTCAAGGTTTATTATCGATCAAATGTTGTTAAGATTTTTTAATAGTTTCCGTATGGTACAATACAATTCTTACAGGTGTATTGAAACTCGGCCCCACTTTCAACCAATTCTATATATTACTTGGCTGTCATAGAAAAATTTGACTTGGTTTAAACAGTATTTATTTCAAAACAAATATACACATCATCACTTCAATAAGCTATAAACTACTGTCTTTTTTCTTTCATTAATTATCACATAAGTTACAAACTATTATTAT